ATCCAAGACTAACAACTAAGGATTATGGAGAGGGGGGATGAGAGTTTTGGCTAAATCTCTTCTAGGGTAAGGAGTACCGAAATTCATAGCCTTAGGGTCCTATTTATATTACAGTCAGGAAACACTTGATAAGCCCAAACCCAATATAATAATATTATCTTCAACCGGGTAATTATCATGCTTCCTAATAATCCACCAGGGATAATTCTAGACACCCTAAGGTTCCTAAAATCGTCAAAAGCCTCATGGAGGGTTGTAGAATGTCTGTTGCTCAACTATTAAACAATTGCACTTTAATCCCTGTACTTTTAATTAACTCTTTTAATCACCAAATTAATTCTAATTAATTTTTGATTAAATATTAATTAAATAATATGATTTCTAATTAATATATTATTTTCATAACATATTAATAAATCAATTATTTCAATTTATTATTCAAATAATAAATTAACCTTTTGTAACATTCCGCTTTAAAATTAAATAAGTAAATAAATAAATAATAATCCCTAAAACTCCGATATGCATTATATATATATATATATATTATATATATATATATATATATATATATATATATATATATATATATATATAAATTAGGTCTAAGTCGTATTAATTAGCAGGGTGTGTATATTAGGTGTTAAAAGTTGTAATAGTGAATACTGAGGGTTAAATTGTAACAAATGGACTTGAAAGGTAAAGAATTTCATGAGCAAGAGATGTTTGGTAAATTATGGATTTAAGTTGAAAAGAAATTGAGAGGGAGGGGCTGTAAGTGCCAAATGTGTACTAATTTGGATTTGGAGACGGGAGGTTAAGCCCGTCACCCAACCTTTCTCTTCATCTGATAATACCCAATACCCTCTCCGAACCCTAACCCTAACAGTCATCCGCCACCTTATCACCCTCCAACTTTCCGCCGCCGCCGCCACTTACCTATCGTCATCGTGAGCCAAATGCACTGAGTGCCGCTGCTGTTGTTCGCTGCCGACAAAGTCGTGAATCGAGGCCGACACCGAGGTCACGGTTGCCTCATTATGACGATATTCTTCCTGCCACCATAAGGTTGCCTATAGGTGTTGCTTGACCAGAAACTAAAAAAAACCACCACCACCATGAGGTGGTGGATGCCGTCATGAACCATCGTTGACCATCACCACTCGGGGTGTTAGTGGGTGGTGCCCAACTTATGATACTCTAAATAACCTAAAATCCTAACCTGGAACCTAATTGGCTAGTATTTGAGTTGGAAACCCTAGTTAGGGTTTAGAAAACCCTAATGTCATGAAACCCTAATTTTGGAGTTGGTCAGGACCTGCATTGAAACTATTAATTAAACTTGAAATAATACTTAATAATGCCCCTAGAATTAGCTTAATGCAATATTGGGCTTAATAGATTAAGTCCTTAAAGGGTTAAGTGTGGAACACTAACCCGAGTTATCATTTTATGTGAAAAACCCTAGAATCGAGGAGCTTTATTTTGGACAATGATCGAGGGCGTAATTGGGATATTGACTGGATTATTATTACACCCAAGAATAACTAAGTCAAACCTTAATTAGTCATACCCTTAAGTGATTAAGTCATTAATGAGTTAAGTGTTCTTACTTAACCCTAATCGTCATTTTATGTAAAACATTGTCATTTCATGTGAGGTGATCACTATTGCAAGTGACTATGACCTCTAATCGGGTATTGACTCAAGTATCTTCCTGTAGGTGTTTGGAAGTGAGTTGAATATGATAGAGTTCTTTGTTGCTATAGTGATTCTCTATGCACATATCGAGGTGAGTTTCGCCTTACTATACCGAGGGTCGACTGCACCAATACCGACCCACTAGTTTTGGTTATTTACTAGTAGAGGGATGCCCTAGAGACTGTATATAGTCATGTAGGATAGACTGAGGACTCCTGATCTAAGCTCTCTTACCTGTTCCTTGTTTGGTTGTGGTTCTAGAGTAGGATCACCTGTCTGGGTGACTATCTTACCTCTGAGTATATATGGTCATGCATTCCTTGGATTGTTGATACTTAATATGTTGTTATATTGTAGTGGTTTGCTAGATTTGTGTTCTGGTATTGAGTATGATGCTATTTAGATCTATCTCCTGGTATTGAGTATGATGCTTTGTGGTAATAACCTGTAGAACTGTATGTTATATGTGTTTGCTGGTTATCATCCATGGATTGCCCTTAGGGACTATCGGTGGTCATGTAGGATAGAATGAGAACTATTGGTCTAGGCTCTCTTTCCTGTTCCTTGTTTAGTTGTAGCTCTAGAGTAGGACCATCTATTCGGGTGGCTATCTCACCTCTGGTTACTTATGGTTACGCACTCTATGGGGGTTAGCTGGTAATGAGACTATAGGTTGTGAGATGATTAGTATGTAGTGGTGAGAGGTATGATTGTTGTTTGCCTATATTATATGCCTACTTGATCCGAATTGTTTATATGTCGACGTATTGTGTTTGGTTTTGGTTGAGGCGGTCCTACATTATGCGGTAGGTCAAGATACCCGGTGCGAGCCAGCTGTAAGAAGTAGGCACAGAGGCTCGAGAAGAGTGGTAGGGTTGAGGCGGTAGCCCAACAAACCCTGGGTATTCCAGCCTGATGGCTGATTGGATATGTTATATATTGACATTCCAACCTAGGGTATTCCATCCCGAGGATGACTGGACCCGGAGGCTGACTGGACTAGATATGTTTGAATGTATTAGTGATCTGTTTATATGGGGGTATTTTGGGGAAAAATCACTAAGCTTTATGCTTACCCAATTTTTTATGGTTTCATGTATCATCGGTTATTGTTGGAAGGCAAAGGCAGGATTGTACACACTCATCAACTACATTGAAGATTCCTTGTTTTTATAATACTCTGATTTTTAAATGATTGTAACTCGGAATGAATGGTTTTCTTAATTAATGGACTAATAAATTAGGAAGTTTTATCTTAATGAAAATGAAAATTTTTTGTTGTGAAAATGGGTTGTTACACCTTTTCTCTCCAAAATAATTTTGTCTAATTGCTAGGTTTGAGGGCAATCCAAAAGGACTGTGCTACCATCAAATCAAGTTTATATCAATTATAGTTATGAGCTTAGACACCTAGTCCAACATACATGAGTTAAGAGCTCCTTAGGTCATTTTACGAATTGTATCATTGTCTTTCTATTCATTCCACATGGTACAACACCACATAATAAATTATCTAAGTTGAGGAAATATACCTTACATTGGATCTATAATAAGTCTGACTTTTCATCCGTTATCCGTTTAGGGTTATGCATGTTGTAATTAAAGTTTGCCACATACATTCACAACATTGTTCCAACCAAGAAGATGAGTAAGACACCATGCCAATTATAACATTTGAGTAGATCGATTGTCTTTCTTGAAGTTATAGGGTTGTCAAGCTAACGTAAATCGTAAGACTTCTAACAAACTAGTGTCCAGGACAAACAAATGTATTATTGGGGGGTACACAAAAGAAACAATGAGATATTATTTCTACAACCCTTCCGAGATCAAAGTGTTTGTTGCTTGGAACGCTAAGTTTTGGAGAAAAGTCTTTTGTCACAAAAAGTTAATGGGGACAACATAGATCTTGAATAAATTAAAGAACTATGAAATGCAACACCTTTTGAAAGCCTTGAAGAATAACAAGATGATCCCCCACAAACAGTTACATAGGCAACGCACCAAACACAAATTGTTTACAAATATGGTAGAACATCTCAAAAGGTTAATTAGGGGATCATTTTAGGACCAATAACTACTGCATGTGAGATCCAAAATATGATAAATTGTTAAAAGCCATTAATATGCATGAGTTAAGAGCTCCTTAGGCCATTTTACAAAATGTGTCATTGTCTTTCTATTCACTCCACATGGTAGAACACCACATTAAACCTTACATTTGATCTATAATAACTCTTACTTCTTATCCTTTATCCTTTTAAGGTTGTGCATGTTGTAATTAAAGTGTGCTACATGCATTCACAACATTGTTCCAATCAAGGGATGAGTAAGACACCATGCCAATTATGGCATGTGAGTAAATCAATTGTCTTTCTTGAAGTTATAAGGTTTCAAGCTAAGGTGAAGCGTGAGACTTCCAACAAACTAATGTCCAAGACCAACAAATGTATTATTGTGGGGCACCCAAAAGAAACGATGAGATACTAGTTCTATAGCCCTTCCGAGATCAAAGTGTTTGTTGGTTGGAACATTAAATTTTAAAGAAAAGTATATCTTGTTAAAAAAAGCTAGTAGGTCAACGTAGATCTTGAATAAGTTAAAGAAATATGAAATGCAACATCTTTTGAAAGCCTTAATGAATAGCAAGATGAGACCCCACAAACAGTTACATAGGCACCACACCTAACACAAATCATTTACAAATATGGTAGAACATCTCAATTAAAAGGTTAATTAGGGTGATTTTGAGACCAATAACTATTACATGTGAGATCCAAAATATGATAAATTGTTACAGACATTAATGCTAATATGCACTACGTCCATGATGGATAAACAAGTGTAAAACTTGATTGATCATTCACCTCTAGCAAACCTATTGGACGCGAATGTAGAAGAACACCGACATAAACGATAATGACAGCTTCTATGTGGTGGGTATATTATTTGTTTAAAATTCTTTGGGTATTTTGCTTGACAAATTATTTCGATTAGTTTATGTGGACGTTGTTGGTAAGAGGTAACATTGGTTTGTTACTCGGGTCATGTATTTCATGATCATCCAACTAGTTATTCATTAAAATTTTAATTTAATCAAAGTAATGACATGATATTTATAAGTATATATTGTCCAAAGATTATAAAAATTAATTATTGAAGTCGTAAATCGTAATTCATAAACTATTAATACGTGTGTGTTTTTGAGAGAGAGAGAGAGAGAGAGAGAGAGAGAGAGAGAGAGAGAGAGAGAGAGAGAGAGAGAGAGAGAGAGAGAGAGAGAGAGAGAGAGAGAGAGAGAGAGAGAGAGAGAGAGAGAGAGTCACACACTGAACAGTAAATTTTGCATCAAAAGTTGTACACGAGGAGGATAGACAGGCAAGACCGAGATAGGTTTCCTAAAACAAAATTAAGAAAATTTTGTTTCTGCTGCAATAACACATGCATATGCAAACATATTCCACCTCATTGTACTATCAATATTATTCCCCTCTTGTGACTCCTTTTGTCCCTTTCTCGTTCTCTTCCTGACATTATCATGTGTATTTCATGCATAATTCTGATTAACCTTTTTCATATACTTGAATCATCTATTGAAGAAGTGAACTTGAATAGTTCTTGATGCAAATTGAACGATCTTCTTTCGTTCCGTCCTACCCCAAGAAAATCTCTAGTCAGATCCCCATCATGAGACTCATTTGTAACGTTTCCTTTGCTTTGTTTTGTCCCTGTCGTTGTCATCATCATCATCAATTCGTCATTGTTGTCGTGTTTCATAGAATTGAAGTTTGAGAGACTTGTGCTCATGAGCCCGAACCCGTTGCTATCCCCTGGATTGCTACTTCTTGTCGAACCCATTTGAGCTGCCTTCTGTAATAGTGCAGTGGCGGACATATGAGCGGTAGTAGGTGGTGGTGGAGTGGAGGAAGTATCGTAGTTATACAAAGCATTCATCTGCATTTCTCCTTTATTCTCTCCTTCCTCTTTCAATTGCAATCCAGAATACGCTGCCACCACAGCTTCTTGGCTTCCATTCAACCACTGCACCATTTCCGATGGTAGCATTCCACCATTGTTGTTGTTCGAGCTTGATGACCCCAAAAATGACGATGTGCTAGGGTTTTCAAGATGGGGTTCGTTGCCATGTTGGTCTAACCATATTGGTAATCTGGGTTTTGCTCCATTAACATCAAGATTACTTTCTAACATCCCACCACCATACATCCCCGGAAATCTCATACCCACGCCACCACCACCACCACCACCGTTCATCATCATCAACTCGTTTCGAAAGTTGAGATTTGCAGTACTTGACATCATAGGAAACGAAGCCATTCTTGAATTTTCTTCAGTTAGAGCATCACAAAATGCTCTATGCGTTATGAAACTATCTTTCCTGTTGTTCAACATGGATATGAATTAATTCGCACATGTAAATTCATGGATTTTATATTTGAGGATCTAATTGATTGAACAAGCTTTGATAATCGGAAAATTTAAATAAAGAGAAACATATGATTTATTGATTTACCTTGAAAAGAGTGTTCCGCAATCACACTTGTACTCTCTGGTACCACAGATTTTGCTATGAGCCTTCCAATCCGATTGAACTGCGTACTTCTTCGAACACTTCTCGCACTTCCATTTCTTCTCACCATGTTTCCGGCTGAAATGTTTCTTAACTCCGGTAAGATCTCCGAGAGCCCGAGCTGGGTCATGATGAACACAGGTTTTCTCCGGGCAGATGTAAACCTTCTTTTTCACCACTTCCAGCTTGTTTCTTTGCTTAAGCTTCCATGGCAGATTGTGTCCTCTGCGATGAAGCTGCAAATTCTGATCTCTTTGAAAACCTTTGTTACATATCTCACATAGAAACCGATTTGTGGCCATCAGAGATGTCGGAGATAAGGCTACTACTTCTGCATCTGGATCTAGACATAAAAAACGATTGTGAAACACTAGTCCATTAGCAAGTTGAAGTAACATCGAGTGAACTATGGCTTACCTGGTGTACCAGGGAGATTACGTTTTCGTTTAGCTGAAGTTGTAGAATTAGGGTTAGGGTTTGTGATGGGGTCTTGGATGAAAGCAGAAAGAGAAGAAGGAGATGATGAAAACCCATCACTAGACATCATCTTTGATTCCTCTGAAAGCTGGTTTCCGATCTAATATGGTGAAACAAAGAACAGAAAGTGTAAAGTAGTAGCTAAATATGGTTGAACAGATGGAGATGATGGTAGCTTAATTCTTCATTTCAGTTATGAAGATGATCCAAGTGAAAGTATGACCAAAGTGGATAGATTTGTTTCAAGTTTACGACCTTTTCATCGAATTCTCATATAGATCTTCGTCAGGTTTGGGTAACGTTTGAATCTTAATGGATGAAAAACCAACACATGATGGGTAGTAAGAGAATACTTTAGAGAGAGAAACACATAGAGAAGTTGTTTGTATGAGAGAGAGAGAGAGAGAGAGAGAGAGAGAGAGAGAGAGAGAGAGAGAATTTGGTTTGGTATGTAGAGATTCTTATCCTACACGGGTTGTGTAGAAAGTCGGTCAGCCATAGACTCTACTTGGACGATATCTTTCTCCATCAGTGACTCACTAGCATCATAATTATTACTAATAATCTAATTATAAAGATTAAATTTTAGAAAACAGTTGTACTTTTTATCAACGAAAAAGCAATTGTATAAAGAAAAAGAAAAAATATTAATACGCTTGCTACTGATCAAACAAAGCCAAAAACAAACAGTAAGATAGTTACAACATCACATATTCCAATTCAAGTTCCTAGGGACTTTAGAACGATTCCTAATCTAATTAAAGACTAAGTTACTCGCATGTAAAAAAGTTTTTCAATCTTATCATTATGGAAGATAAAGAATATTTTGAATTTTGACATCAGTAGCGCCCACATGAACGCTAACGACCGTATCAAAAATCTTCAAAGCTAATTTGATAGATCCCACTCCAAGCAAAATGAGTGACACATATTTTTAATAACATTTTTTTTGTGTTACTATAATAATTATTATTATGTTTTTAGTGACATTTTACATGCCACTATAAAATTAGTACATTTAATGGTACTTAATAAATTATGTCACTAATGTTAATATTATTATCGGAATATAAAATTAAAATGCAACTAATAACTCTTTATTTCGTGCCATATACTTTTTTATATGTCACTAAAGTTTAATGATATGTTTTACCAATTTCTTTTTATGCCACTAAAAAAAGGTGAATTCTCGTATCTTATTTCCCTATCTCAAAAATGAATGAGAACTTATTGCTAAAAATATATGAAATTTGATGTTTGACCTTTAATGTTTTATCATTTATTCTACCCTAATCGATCACACTTCATAGCTTAATCATACCACCATTAGAGACGGACCATCAAAACAGAAGTCGTAGACCATCACTTTGCATCACGACATCATGTATGATTCCAATTTTCAACTCACATTCCTAAGCCTCTCTATTGGTTAAACCCTAACCTCATCAAGCCTCTCCACTCGAAATATCTCTTCTAAACCCTAATTTTAAAGTCTACACACAATCCACTATACATGGTTGCATTTTTATGGAAGCTGTTAATTAAGTTTGATCAGAGTAGAATGATTTAGTTTATCATTTTATTTGTAAAATCTATACCAATTTTTTTTTTTTTTTTTTTTTTTAGTTCATTCTCATATTGTCTATTTTAAAAATTTGTAACAACTCTCGGCACGATTCCACTATTCCGGTGACTTTTTTCTTCTGTTGGTAACATGGACCATTGATTTAACATTATCTCTTTTGTGCCAAGGAGTTTATCTTTGGATGTTGAAGTTTGTTGTTAAACTTATATGTTAGCTTAATTACCGTCAATGACTAGATTGAGACCTAACTCTCTCAAGACCAGTCACTTAATTATTTTTTTCACATCAATAATTATGTATATATTTACTTGAATATTTGAAAGATACCTTGAATCAAGAAGTTCGATCATGCAATTCTGAATGTTTTCTGGGGGACAACACCATGTTTTTTGAAACATCCAAAAAATCACCACAAGGAAAAAGGCCATTACCGGCGACAAAAGTCGCCGGTAAAAGTCCCAAAAATCGCCGGTACTGATAATAGCGGCGACGCGTCGCCGCTACTGCCTCGTCGCTATTGATCAGTTTGTCGCCGCTAATGATAATAGTCGCCGCTAATGAGTAGTGTCGCCGCTAATAATGTTGTCGCCGGGAATGACATTTGTCGCCGGTAAAAGTGTCGCCGGTAAAAGTGTCGCCGGTAATTTGTTTTCATTTTTTTTTTAAATAATGATTTTCGTTGCCGGTGATAATATCGCAGGTAAAAGTGTTGCCGGTGATAATATCGCAGGTAAAAGTGTCGCCGGTAATAAGAATATTCGATTAAATATCAAAACCAATAGTGTCGACGCTAATTACAAAACAAACATCCTATTAAATATCAAACATAATAGTGTCAAACAAACATCCTATTACAAACAAACATCCAAAATACAATTAAATATCAAAAGTCATACTATCCGAGTAGCAAAACAACAAAATTTTTACAATCTACTAAGTAGCAAAACGAGACAACATATGCAAATAAAACCCATTCTTACATACCCTCATCGCCGTTCCCATCGTTTCCTTGATTATTTTGGGATTGAAAAAACGAATAAAGCTCATCCCTACATGCCGGGTCGGCGAGCATTGCACGAAGATTTTCCAACTACATAATTAATAACAATATATATAAACTTATAAGTTAGATCGTCAAACATAAACAAAAACTATCAAAATACATTGTTATTTTTAAAGTAAGATAGAAAACCAAAGTACATTGCTATATTTTGCACTTGGGACAAAAACCAAATTACCAAACTTTTTAGCAAATAACCACCACAAAACCAAAACTACCAAATCAACATGCATTTTACGATGCTAAAGTAGATTGCTATTTTACCTGTGATGGTTGTGATGGTGGTTGTGATGGTTGCGAAGGCTGTGGAATCGTCGGGAGACCAGAAGGTTTGCGGCCAATGCCTCTAATGTGGCCACGTCGCTCTCCTAATACTTTCTCGAACGTAGCTCTTTCTTGAGTTGGCGTAAACTCACTTTCACCTTGAGTTTGTTCTAGCAGCTCTTCAACTAACCGATTCTGTAACTCCCAAAAGTGAGTAACAATTAAGTATAAATAAACATTTAAATATATGATAAAATTATAATTAAATACTTACATATTGTTGTTCCGATTCAGCAGTAACAAATACACCATTCTTATCGGTATGAGCTTTGCGAAATGTTTCCACTCTCTTAAGGTTCTGTTTAAGTTTAAAAATTAGATTATATTTTAAATAAATAATTACATGTATCGTACGGTACCTTCTTATAGCAAGTACTGCTATACGAGCTCGAACCCCCACGATTCACAATTGTTTGCTTTTCACGGATTTTTTTGTTCCTTTCTGAAGCAATTTTGTGTTCGTCAGTTTGAAAATACTCAACTGTCTTCTCCCAGTTATCAACAAGCATACCATCCGGAGGATTTGCCAATGCTCTCGGGATATCTTCATACCCTCCGACCATCTTGAAATATTCTTTTGCGTTGGCTTTACGCTCTCGAAAACCTCTTAACAAGGCTGCTTGAAAACTCTCTGTCAATAAAGTAGCTTGTGCATCCTGGCATATTTGATTGAGATCAAACTTTGTCTACAATAAAAAAAAGTTAACCAAGTAAGAAACAATTATAGTTAAACCTATAAAATATATTTAAATAAATAATTACCGCTAAATGTTGTAATACAGTGTCCTTTATATCAGGGGAAACTCTTTTCCAACTCCATTTGTCGAAAGGGACCATCTGCCACATTGTTTTCCCAACTTCTCGGGAAAACATGTCTCCCGCCTCTCCTACGGGATTAAATGTGATATCCCTATCAAATTGCATGGCTATTGGTTTCCCCTGGTTCTGCAAGATTGCTTTTTCAAGCTTTATATTTTTTGCTTTTCCTCGAGCTTTCCTTCGGGCACGTCCCTCAACTACAAATGTAATTAAAAATTATTAGAAACGACATTTAATTTATGATAATTGAACAAAAATAGTAAATAAAAATTCATGATAAGACTTACCGTCCTGCTCGTGCTGGCCAGGACCTCTACCACCTGGGAAAGGTGGGTCCTCAGCTCCGTCTCCCCCATGTCCACGACCCATGACAGCAGCCATGGTAAACATAAACAACAGCCACACTCTCATCATTTCCTGAAAAATTATAAGATATACAAATACAATTTTTATTATAGATACACATTACATAGAAATAAACATTTAGATAGGAATAAACATTTAGATAGGAATAAACATTTCCATTTAAACTAGAAATCCAAATACAGTTCATATTACAAACACATATTACAAATACATATTACATAAGAACTATTCTAATCAGAATCTTCCTCATATCCTTCAGTGTCTTCTTCGGTATCATAGTCAGAATCGGTGTCATCGTAATCAGTATCGCAATCAGAAACATCATTGACTCTACCAGTTGGCGGAGGAACTTCAGATGCACTTTCTACATCAACAATGACTCTAGGAATGTTTTGAAAGTACATGCTGAAATCGATAAAAAGTGGAGCATCGGATGAAGAGATATTTTGAAGTACATCGACATCGTCTACATTTTCGTGTGAGACATTGTCAACATTTTGAACAAGGTCATCGTTCGATGGTAGATCCCAAATACTTCGATGATTAACATGCTCGACAACACACTGATGGTTATTGTTTGGCTCTCTGATGTAGAACACTTGTTTGGCTTGTGACGCATATATGAGTTGATCATCTTTGTATGCTTCGCGTCGTGTGTCGATAGTGGTGAAACTATCACTAGAAATAACTCCTGTTCGAGTATCAAACCACTTGCAACGAAATAGTACAGTTGAATAATCATGTGTATACCTCAACTCTATAATCTCTTCTAACTGGCCATAATACTTCTCGCCTTTCTCACCCACCGCTAAAACCCCAGAGTTTTGTGTTGTACGTTGTGTGTCACGACTAAGTACCATAAACCTAACACCATTGACTATGCATGCGGTGTAAGAATAGGCATTCATTTGCGGGCCCATTGCAAGAACCGACAACTCTTCGTGGAATTCTGGAGATTTTTCTATTTTCATTTGATGAACCTAACAATTATAAATTAATATGTATTATGTATTCGTTAGATCAATGAAAAAAATTTGTTTATTAATTTATATTACCTTTTCACGAAACCAATTACGAAATTCTCTCTTTTCATCACTTTGGGGATGCTCAGATTTGAATTTCCTATGTTGATGACCAAAAGATATAGATTTAAAAAGATAAAATAAAAAATTAAGAATGAAAGTTAGAGATAAGATTAATTACTTGATATACTGTCTGACTTCTTCACAGCTATTCAATACAAACCATTCCATGTTATGCATTTCCGTTAAATTAAGAGTTTTGATTTGAGTTGTGCTGGTCGGTCGACATTTAGACTCAAACATCCAAAACTTTGTTTTTTCAATGACAACATCTACATTTCTTTCCGGACGATTCTTTACATCTCGAAGGTACATTGAACAAAATGATAAAGCTTCTTCAGCAACATAACCCTCAGCTATAGAACCTTCTGGCTTCGCCTTGTTTCTGACATAGTTTTTTAGTTTTTTCATATATCTCTCGAATGGAAACATCCATCTCATACAAACCGGGCCTCCAGCAATTGCTTCATCAGGTAAATGCAAAAGTAAATGAACCATAATGTCAAAAAACGCCGAGGATAAATCAATTCTAACTTGCACAAGATTGCAATAATGTCTACTTTTGCTTTCCTCATATCCTCCACCTTCAATGTTCTGGAACAAAGTTGCTTGAAAAACGTACAAAGGTCTACAATAGGTGTATAAGTATCTTTGTCTAACAACCCTCTTACTCCAATCGGTATCAAACGTTGAATAAGAATGTGGTGGTCATGCGATTTCAACCCAATAATGTTAGTATTGGTATCGTTCACTTTCTTACTAATGTTAGAACCAAACCCATCCGGCAGCTTAACCTCTTTTATAAATTGACAAAAGAGTTGTCGACTAGATTTCGTGAAAGAGTATCTTGCCTGGGGTCTATGAAACTTGTCACCATTTTTTTGCAACCATTCATTTCTCCGAATGTTTAGAATTCTCAAGTCCTCTCGTGCATTTGATGTGTCTTTGCTTTTATCGTTCATTAGGAGAGTACCTAACAAACTCTCGTCCACATTTTTCTGGACATGCATGACATCTATGTTGTGTTTCAACTGTAGAGAAGACCAATACTCGAGTTCGAAGAAAATGCTTCGTTTCGACCAGTTCAACTCATAATCTTGCCGCATTGGCTCCCCGCCTCCATGCTC